CTGGTGGTCCCTGAGCAGCCTCCCAGCAGGGAGAAGCCCTTCAGGTGCTGGGAATGTGGGAAGAGCTTTAAGAAGAGCCGCGACCTCCTCAGGCACCTGCACATCCACACTGGGGCACGGCCCTACACATGTAGGGAATGTGGGAAGAGCTTCAGTGACAGCTCCAACCTGCTCCAACACCAGCGCATCCACACTGGAGAACGGCCCTACACATGTAGGGAATGTGGGAAGAGCTTCAACCGGAACTCCACTCTGAGCCAACACAAGCGTACCCACACTGGGGAAAGACCCTTCAAGTGTGAAGAGTGTGGGAAGAGCTTCAGGCACAGCTCCACCCTCCACAACCACCAGCGCATCCACACTGGGGAACGGCCCTACAAGTGCTTGCAATGTGGGAAGAGGTTTCACACCAACTCCACTCTCCTCACACATAAGCAGACACACACAGGGGAGAGGCCCTTCCGCTGCACCGACTGTGGGAAGGGCTTTAACCGGAACTTCCACCTCATCACCCACCAGCGCATCCACACCGGGGAGAGGCCCTACAAGTGTGGGGAGTGTGGGAAGAGCTTCAGTGACAGGTCTACCTTGACCAAACACCAACGGACCCACCGGTAAGAGAAGCCCCTCGAGTGCCCCGACTGCGAGAAGAGCTTCGGCCGCTGCTCCAGCTCCGTCACCTGTTGGAGAACCCGCCTTGGGAACAGCCTTGGAGACCCACATTCCCGGTGACCTGCGTTTGGAACAGCCTTTTGGGGACCCACATTCCCCGGTGACCCCTGTTTGGGGTTTATTGTCGTGCAGCGAATGGTTCTGATTAAGGTGGTTTTTTTTTCTTCCATCTGATCGTTTGTAAAGCGCGTAAATTGCTCGTTTAATATAAATGTTCTGGTTTTGGCTGTGATTCATTAATTAATTGCCTGATGGCAGAGGAGCCCCTGATGTGTGTGTTCGTGACCAGGCAATCCCATTAATAAATAAATAATTAATTAACTGATGACAGAGGAGGCCCTGAGGTGTGTGAGTGTGACCAGGCGATCCTGTT